TGCTGGTGCACCGGCTGGAGATGGAGAGCAGGCACTATGATGTGCTTTTCCTCGGCACAGGTGGGAGCTTACCCCAGCTCTGGCGATGCTGTCACCACGGGGCAGCTTGTGCAGCCCATGGGTCACACCAGCCCAGGTGGCTCCCAGCCCTGACAGCTCCTTCTCCTGCTGCCTTCACAGATGGAGGAAAAGTGCTGAAGGTGGGGCTGGCCGGTGGGGTGAGCCGTGGCACTGAGGTGATCAGCCTTGAGGAGATCAGCGTCACTAAGGTGCGGGAGGCCAGGGTGGCACCACAGTGGCTGGGCCATGATGTCTGGACCACACAGCCTCCCCTTGCCCCATGGGACTCTCTCCTGCAGGCTCTAGCCTATCTCAGGGAGGTCCCTCAACTCACTGCTGGTGGCTCCCACCTGCCCTGGGCAGCAGGTGATGCTACCAGCAGGGAGGGGAGCCAGTGGGACCGGAGCCAAGTCATCTTCCCGCTCCCCATACAGTCACTGTAGGGAGTGGGGGTGGCACATTGGAGCCTGAATGGAAACGGGAGGGCTGAGCCCCAGTTTGAAATCACAGCCAGCAGGCAGGGCTGCCCTGATGTGCCCATGCTGAGTAGGGCCAGCCCAGGCTGCTTACAGGGAGCAGGAGGGGCTGGGACCAAGGACTTGGGCCAGGGCCCTGGCATCCTGCCACCCCTAGGGACACAACCCCGCTGGCAGGCTGGGGGCACCCAGCAGGGAACGACACAGCTGCAGCACCCTCTTCTTACCCTTCAGGTGCCTTCTCCCATCTTGGACATGAAGTTATCACCAAAGCGGGTGAGTCCTTCCTTCTGCTTCTCCCTAAAGCAGCCCAGGGACAGGTCACAGAGGGCAGTTGCCCTCAGTCTCTCTCTGCCTGGGTCCCATGGCCCCAGGGCTCACACATGCTCCTGCTAGGGCATTAGGGAGGTGGTAGATTCTGCCTCGCACTCCTGCTGTTTCCCAGTGCCCCCACCCCAGCACAGCACAAGAGCTCTGTCCCCTGCAAGTCCTGCTCTCCAGCCATGGGTGCTGACTGCTGCTGTTCTGTTTCCCTGAGCAGCAGGAGCTGTTTGTGAGCAGCACCCATGGGTTGCTCCAGCTCTCCCTGTACCGCTGCGAGCTCTATGGCAAAACCTGCACCGACTGCTGCCTGGCCAGGGATCCCTACTGCACCTGGGACAGCAAGACCTGCACCCCACACCTGGTCCCTGAGAAGAGGTGAGCACCTGCTCAGGCCAGCCCTGCTGTCCCCCTGCAAAGGGAAGCTGTTCAGAACAGGGAGTGGCAAACACCAGCCCTGGAGCTTTATCTGCCAGCTCAGACTCCTGCTGTCATCCTGCCTGCCTGTCCCCCAGCACTCCCTGGTCCCCTTTCGCCCTGGCTTGCTCTGCCATGGCGGGGTACCCACAGGCAGGGGTGTGTGTCTACTCTCCTGCAGGCGTGCCCGCTGCCATGATGTCCTGAAGTCTGACCCACTCAGACAGTGCCAGGACACAGCAGAGGGTGAGCACCAGCCCCTTCAAGGAGCCCCAGTGTGTGCAGACAGCTCTGCCCAGGAGTGTGGGTGGCATGGTGCTGGAAAAATAGCACCCCTACCACTTGTTGGATGCTGCCCTCCCTCCTACCTGTCACTCTGCTCCCGTGCAGGGTACTCATCCCTTTCCCTATCCTGTCCCCTGCACAGGGACTGCTGTTGTGGAGAAGCTGGTTTTTGGGGTGGAGAAGAACTCGACCTTCCTCGAGTGCCTGGCACGTTCCCCGCAGACAACGATTCGGTGGCTGGTGTGGCACAGCGAGGAGACAGGCCTGAGTGAGGTACAGGGGACAGGACAGCAGGAGCAGGGCACAGGGGTGGCTTGTCCCTGGGAACTGACCCACGGTGCTCTGCCTTTGCCCCAGGTCAGGAACAATGGACATTTCTTGGTGCTGGAGCAAGGGCTGCTGATCCGCCAGCTGGCAAGAGAGGATGCAGGCACCTATGAGTGCCAGGCAGTGGAGCGCTCCTTCTCCCGGTCCCTCACCCGATACAGCCTCCGTGTCATCAGGCATGAGGCCACCGAGGTGCCACCATACAAATGGAGCAAGGGGGCTGAGCTAGGAGGGACTCACCAGAGCCCCCAGCCCTGGATTGACCTGCGCCCCGGCTACAAGGGCTTTCCACGGGCTCTGGGGGCACCAGGCACCAGCCTGGATGCCTACTGCAATGCCCTGTGGCACCAGGAAAGGCAGCGGCAGAGAGCCTGGCACAAGTGGCAGCACCCATCCCCAGACAGCAGGCACGGCCGGGTGCGGAGGCACCCCCAGCCCCTGTGAGAGGGCGGAGGGAGCAGGGGATGAGCACAGGTCCCTTCCCTGGTCTCTCCAGGCCCCTTCTTGCACACCAGCATCAGCTCTGAGACACCTCTCACCTTCCCGTGCAGAACTGCATCGCTGTTACTACCTCAATCCCTGCCAGTCCGCACTGCATGTCTGTGTGCCCCACGGGGCACCAGGGCCAGGGCACACAGCCTGTGTCAGCCCTCTGAGACTCAAAGCTATTTTCCTGCAGAATATTTATTCTCCTTGTTTTTCCCTGGCCCTTAATGACGATCACTATCAGCAGCAACAATAAGCATAGAGGACAGAGAAGGGCAAGAGCCAGCTCTCCCCATGGTTCCCGGACACCCAGCAGTTCCCAGCCTCCCTCCCCTCCAGAGGGGCAGGGTGCTGCCCTGGCAGCCTCGAGGAGCAGTGGGGCCAGCCCACATGCTGCTGGAGGCAGTGGGATGGGCTCCAGGCACGCGGATACCCATGCCTAGCCCAGCTCCAACCCAATTCAAATGACATCGCTTCCTTTTAATTTTGACATTGATTTTATCAGAGAACAAAAGAGAGAGAAGCAACAGGCAGTTATACCAACTTACGATTTATTATTTTTTTAAAAAATGACATGAAACACAAGTAAAAATAAATACATCATATAAACAACAAATTGTTCAAAGTCTCTGTTCTGGGAGATCAGGCGAGCACATCCCGTTTGACAGAGAGAAGAGGGAAGCACATGACCATGCGTGGGGCCAACTGACCGACCCACCCTGCTAGCAATACTCCTCTTTCCAACCACAACAAGACAGGCCACAAACTAAGGCGGTAGAAAAAAAGAAAAGGAAAAAAAAATAAAAGAAAAAGAAACCCAAACCAACAGAAACCCCCAAATGAGACTCAATGATGAATTCCTTCAGGCTCCTGTGGATCTGCCAAAGATCCCAGCTCCACACTGGGTCCCACAAAGCAGCAGAGGCAGCGGTGGTGGCCTGGGAGGTGGCAGAGGTTGCTCTCCCTCACTCGCCCTGTTGTCCCTTTGCTTGGAGCACTTGTTCCAAGGAGCCATCACCTCACTGTAATCTAGCTGGACTATGTTCCCCATTTAACCTCTTCCCCCCACCCGAACCCTCCCCCCAGTCCTTCCAAGACTGGATTAACAAAATTCATCCCAGAGTGGTGAGAAACACCAGCTGTGAATGTATTTTCTGTACTTGCCCCTGCTGGCCTGGAAGCTCTCCCCAAACCAACAGTAATTCTCATGCATTCAGCCATTTGCATTTGTTACCAGAGAAGCTGTGGCTGCCCCATCCCTGGAAGTGTTCCAAGGCCAGGTGGACAGGGCTTGGAGCACCTGGGCTAGTGGAAGGTGTTCCCTGCCCATGGCAGAGGAGCTGGAACTAGATGATCTTTAAGGTCCCTTCCAACCCAAACCAATCCATGATTCTGTGATTCACTTACATCATTAAGTCAAAATACACACTTCTAGTGAAGCTCCATGGAAATCCCACCTTTTGCTTGCCAGAATATTTGCTTTCTCCAAGTACCTGCACCCACACCACCATCTCCAGGTGCTTCGGGGGTACAATGTGCAGCAGCTCCTGCCCAACGTGGGCCAGGCTGGGCTGTGTTGCCCCCACCCTGCAGCCCCCCATGACAATCTGAGAGCCACACCAGCAGGGCAGGGGGCAACAAGCCCACCAAGACCAGGGCACACAGCAGCCACAGCCCCCCATGCCCATGGCACTATCCTGCAGCGCAGGGGTACTCAGCCTTCACCCAATTGTTACCAGTAGTGGAAACCTTCCACCTCTATGAAGGGCCAAGGGTGGGGTGCTGATGTGAAGGACAGCTGGCCATTCCCAAGGTGCCCACAGCTCTGTCCTGGCCTTGGAGCTGTGCTCAGAAATCTCCCCTTACTGTCCAAAACCCTCAGCAGAGAGTACTGCACTGCTGTCCTCAGTGTCACCCACAGCCCCACTGAGAATTGGCAGATGCTTCCCATCAAGTCATTTGGAGACAGAAATCCAGCAGCAAAAGAAAAATTTAACCCATGCAGGGGAAAGCCCTGTTCCAGAGTCAGAAAACCAAGATAGGACCCTCTGCAGCAGAACCATGTGCTGGAGAGGAGAAATGTCTGGGGAGAGCAGGTCCCATGGGAGGGGAGTTTTAGGGCTTGGAGAGGTCCCCCTACTCAGAAAGGTCCTGGATAACCCACACGGCTTCTGTGGGGTGGAGGAAATCCTCCCCCTGGCATGGGAGTGCAGCTGCCTCCAGTTGCCTCAGAGCATCCCCAGCTGCTGCCAACTGCCACAGGAGCCCTGTGGTCAGGGCGTCACAGTTCTCTCCGCGACCACCTACCAGCTGAGGCCCAGGGGATCTGTCCCTTCATTAAGGGGGTGCCCGGGGCTGGTAGATGGGGCAGAGGTAGGGCTGGGGCTGCACTTGCTGCGCAGGGGCACTGTGCTGCAGTGGCCCAGAGCCACGGATGTTTGCCAGCCAGAAGAAGCCCCTCACAGCAGGTCATGACTGGGGCATGACTGCAGGAGGGCAGTGAAGGGTCTCCAAGCTGCCATGGACATGCAGGAGCCAGGAGAGCCCTCACACCTTGCCTGGCTGCCAGGTCAACAGCAAGCCTGGGGCACAGAGTGTATACCTGTGGCAGCTGAGCAGCTGCTCCCAGCTCCTATAGCCGCAGGGCTCAAGCTCTGCTAGGGTACCCCAGGAAGACATCAGGCAGAAGCACAAGGATGTGCCAGGGCCTGCTGAGGATGACCCAGGAGCGCTGCTCTGTAGAGGCAAGGAGCATTGAAAATGGTGTGCTGTCACCAGTACTACATCCAGAGCCACAGTGCTGACTACCCCCAGCCAAATCTTCATGCCTTGTCCCAGCACAGGCCCCATTCAGAGAGGGAAGAGTCCCATGGATGAACCCCATTATCCTGACCCCCACCAGGAAGGACTGGGGCCGCAGCAGGGCTCTGGTGGGGGGTCTGCCCATGCTCCGGCCTTTCCCACATGCCCACAGGTCTCAACACTCGCTACTCTCGACAAGGAAAGCCCTTGCCTAGGTCCATTCCCCAAACCCACCGGAAAACTGACAGCCTCACAGGGATGCAATGGACATCTGGGCAAGCTGGTCATACAATCAGTGTCACAGGGTTGTGCATGAAGTGGACACACAGAGCACAGGAGGGCATGACTCACAGATGCAGCACTGTCAAGTCTTTGGAGAAACTTGCATGAACACCATCAGTTAATTTGCTTTGTTACTTTTGTGGGGGGGTTTGATTTTTATTTCCATGGTGCATCCAAAGACAAGTTGTCCAGCAGTTTGCTCAGAACCCCTCGGTTTTCAACTCCTAGGATATGTTAAAGAAGAAAGCACTATTTTAATGTTTGTTTTTTTAAAAAAATAATTAAAGTAATTTGCATAGCTAAACTGTTGATCTAAGGCTTCTATGAATGGTGTGGTTATGTTTGACAGACAATGTCCATTAAACAGAGAAACAAACTAGGAAAGCCCCGTAACATTTTTTATTATGTTTCTGTAACACACGTGTGCACACATACCCCTCTCTCGCTCGGGAAGGGAGATCCCCATCTTCTAGAACCCCTTTGGTGGAGGATGTCAGGACATCCTGCCCTTTCCTACACCTAGTTGGTCCCAGCAAACACCAGTGACTGCAGCTTCCACAGCCTGAGAGGTCCCCTATGAGCTACCACCAGGGACATCCCACATGGGTGAGCACAGCTCCTGCCTGGGGACACCCAGATGTGACACAGAGGTTACTGGATTTCAAGCCTCCATATTTCAAGTCACACATGCAGTCACACACACCACGTCCAGCTGCGCTTGGGTATCCCACCTGTCCCTACGAGCCCTTGGCTCTGAGACAAGAAGCCAATATGCTTGTGTTGGGGACGGGACCAGCCCCTGCACACGAGGCTGAGCAGGGCTGGGCCGAGCAGCACTCCCGGCATGGGGAAAGGCGCTGCACTGGGAGAGGCTCTGCTTTCCCAGCTCCACACACCTCACAGCCCTCCCCCTCACTGGGAACGAGCACAGGAGGCATCCACTTGTGCTCCTCTATATGCCCCGTGACCAGAGGACTCCATCCTTCCTCTGGCTGCTGAGTACCCAGAGCAGCTTCTGCTCTGGCATGATGCCCCGATGGGGCACATCCAGCTGATGCCACATGGGTCAGCCACAGACCACCTCCACAGCCAGCCCTGCTCCTAGGCTACACTTTGGGCAACTGGCTGCTTCTTCCCACACAGACAACCCAACAAGCAACCACTGCATGATGGAGGCCAGCTTTTTATTTTTTTTAATATGGAAATTAATTTAAAAGTAGATAGAAAGACTCCCCCAGACAATAAATATTACGCCTTCATGAAATAAATTAATGTAGAGATTCTGTGCAGAGGGAAGTCCCTCCAGTCACAGATTTAACAGCAACCAGCACTGGGTCCAGTGTTCCCTCCCAACCTTCTCCACTGCCTGGTACTGTTCAGAAGCAGCAGTGAGCCCACCTGCCCCCGGATCTGGTGGGCCACAGCAGGGTGAGACGTGGCCTTCACACAGCCTGGCAGGGCCATGGAGCTGGGCAAGTCACCAGGATTCCCCTCCAATGGCCATCAAGACATCTGGGATTGCTCCACTCATCTGGCCTGGCACACAGAGCTGGCATCAGAACCACAAGGCCAACCTACCTTGGATAGGACCCTCCAGAAGGGCTCTGGGGAGGACAGAACCCTCCAGAAAGGAACGGGGAAATCCTCTACCAGAGCCCTGCTCTCCTTGCTGCAGCAGGGGCCTGCCTGGAGCCCTCACACTAGTCTCATGTGAATTTCAAGAGGATGACAAATTGTTTGTGGGGCTATGTTGTTTCTTTTTTTATCTTTTTTTTCCTTCCTTTTTTTTTTTTAAACATCAATCCCCCCTCCTTGTCCCAACATACACAATGTAGAAGCCTCCCCGCTCCCTCCCCATTAAAAATGCTTTGTCC